TTCCTCCTCCTCTTCTTCTTCTTCCTCTTCCTCTTCTTCCTCCTCCTCTTCTTCTTCTTCCTCTTCCTCTTCTTCCTTTCCTTCTACTTCTACTTCTAAGCTCGAATTCGTATGCACCGAGACCGACCGACGGAATCTCTCTAATGCAAGATTGGCATTTCCTGGCAGGTCTTCGGGGGGGGGGGGGGTAAGAGTGAGAGATAATGGGTTAGGTGAGAGAAAGGGGGAGAGAGAAAGGGTAGGGAAGGAGGTGGAGGGAGGGAGGGGAGGAGAGAGAGAGAAGGAGGGAGAGGGAGGGAGGGAGTGAAGAAAGGAGAGAGAGAGATAGAGAGAGGGGGAGAGAGAGAGAGAGAGAGAGAGAGAGAGAGAGATTATAGGTAATGGTCATGAGTAATATCTATCGCTATCCCCCCACCCCTCCCCTTCCCAAACACCCACGCCTCAGGAAAAAACACTACTTTTGGCTAGCACTCCCATAGCCCACCAGCAGCCCACCTACCACACTGCCCTCCCCCCTCCTACTCCACATATCACCCACTTCACCCACCCCCTACCCCCTCCCTACCCCCTCACTGACCACTCGATATAACCCACTCCATGCCCACTCGCTCTGACCCACCCCACACGCACGCATCTCCACCCACTTTGACGCCAACAGCCCACCCACCCCACCTCCCCACACAGTCCCCCTTCCCCTCCTCTCCCCTCCCCTCCCCTCCCCTCCCCTCCCCTCCCCTCCCCACCTCCTCCCCCAACCCCTTTAACTCGCACTATCCACATCATTTATTCCTCCTTCCCCCCTCTTCCCCTCCCCCTCCCCCCTCTTCCTCTCCTCCCCCTCCCTCCCCTCTTCCCCCCCTCCCCCCCCTTTTCCTCCCCGCCCCTCCCCGACCCACCCACATCGCCGCCGCAAATGCCTGCTTGACTCCCTCAATCACCTGCATCCGTTGTTACAATTGCACGCTTTTAGAAGGGAAGGAGAGAGAGAGAGAGAGAGAGAGAGAGAGAGAGAGAGAGAGGAGAGAGAGAGAGAGAGAGAGAGAGAAAAGAGAGAGAGAGAGAGAGAGAGAGAAAAGAGAGAGAGAGAGAGAGAGAGAAGGAGAGAGAGAGAAAAGAGAGAGAGAGAGAGAGAGAGAGAGAGAGAGAAAGAGAGGGAAAGAGAAAGAGAGAGAGAGAGAGAGAAAGAGAGAGAGAGAGAGAGAGAGAGAGAGAGAGAAAGAGGGAGGGAGAGAGAGAGAAAGATAATTAAAAGGACTAGTGAATAGGAATGAATGGTTATGAACATATAAAATAGACAGGTAGAAAAGGAGATAGAAATATAATACATACATACATACACAATGGCTAGACAGAAACATACCTAGCCACAGAGAAACGAACAGTGGCACAGTGTATTTCATTTGAATACATTACCCCCCCCACACACACACACGAAAAAAAAATCAACTTTCTCAAATGATACAAAAAAAAAATCATGTTCTCCAAGCCTCCAATTACCTTTTCAAAACGTGTTTCACCGAACTGTCATATGACCCGTCTGCTTGCGTGCGATCAGCCGTCATTTTGTCATGTTTCCCTGTAAGCTTTGCCATTCCCCGTCATTGGCATACTGACACTGACACGGGGATTTTGAGGGGCTGTGAAAGGGTTAATGTGAAAAGCAACAAGGAAGGAAGGATGTCGGAGGATTTTTGACATGACAGACGCGGCGGGTCTTCGCTGTCAAGAGAGAGACGAAAATAAAATAAAAAAAGGGTTTTATACTGGAGGAAGGTATGGTATTTATTTATATCATTTAAGTTATCAGGAGAGACTTTTGTGGGGAAGTGTATGGGTGAAAAAGGTATAGTATTTGAGAAAGATATGGTATATATATATATCAATTATGAGGAGACAGTTTTGTGGGAAATACCAGAAGAAAGGTTTATACTCGTTTTTATACTCGTTTTTAGGGGAGAATTTTGTGGGAAATTCGTGAAAATAGGCTTTATACTTGAGGAATATATGGTATTTATATGTCATTTACATTATTAGGAGACAG